TTCGGGTCGCGACCAGAGTTGCAGAACGAATTAAGTTCGTGACCCGAGGTACCACTGTACTTTGCCACAAAAGTGGATGCAGGTCCAGCATCCATGTAGTATGATACTGCGTGACCTGCACATTCACAGTTGTTGTGTAGGATCAAGCATGAAGCACACATTCTCCTCAATGACAGCCAGTTAGGCAGAAAGGCACCACCACCATGCTTTTAGTCACCTAAAAGTCCACTTCACAATATTCCTACAGTGGTTAAAGGCACAGCTGTAGGCAAATTCCCATCATGGGTTTCCTCAACTATCACTTCAGATGCACGCTGTTTCAACACCTTCATTGAACTGTTTACTCCAAGATCTCTTTCCTTATCAGTCACTGCTAGCTCTGACCCCATTAGTTTGCATGAATAGTTAGGATTTTTGGCATCAATGTGCATCACTTTACACTTGCTCACATTGAATGACATCTGTCATTTTGACACCCACTCCTCTAATGTGCAGAGATCCTTTTGGAGCTCTTCGCAGTCCCTGATTGTTTTTACCACTCTGAGCAATTTAGCATCAGCAGCAAACTTGGCTATTCCAATTCCAGATAATTTATAAACAAGTTAAAAAGCACCAGTTCTAGGTCAGAACCCTGGGGAAGCCCACTAGTTACATCCCTCCATTGTAAGAAATGTCAGTTTAGTCCTACTCTTTATGTTCTGTTCTTTAGCCAGTTGCTTATCCACAAGAGGACCTGCCTTTTATTCCATGGCTGTTAAACTTACTGAGAAGTCTTTGATGAGGGACTTTCTTAAAGGCTTTTTGAAAATCTAAGCAGATATCTACTGGTTCGCCCTTATCCACATTTTATTAACATCCTCAAAAAACTCTAGTAGGTTAGTTAGATAGGACCTTCCCTTAGTGAAGCCATGTTGGTTATTCTTGAGCAAGGCCTGTGTCTCCAGATGAGGTCTGAGGAGAGCCAGCCTGATAGCAGATGATGTGACAGCAAGGTTGGGAGGACCCTGAAAGGACAAGGGCAAAGCCACTGCAAGAAAGGATAATATGAACAAGTGACCAGAATTGTCCTAGAAAAAGAGGATTTGTGGTGGAATGAGTACCAAAGTAGAGGGAGTAAAAATGAAGGAGAACATTTTGTTTTAAGATCCTTGAGTCATCAGTCGACCATAATGATCAATAATGGACAGTGAGAGACCACATGATCATATGCTGGGACTACTTCCTAGCCACTGGTAACCATGGTGGCTTCAGGTTTTCGGGTGTGCACCACGTGACCAATCCCAACAGGCAAGTCATGAACTGAGGGACACAGTATGGTCAGTCTCTGTTACTTGGGTGAGCAGAACCTTGTGCCCAAAGTTGGTGGCCAGTTTCATAATGGATTTGATGGGTATGAGCTCCCAAATTTTAATGCACAATTGTGCTCAACAATGCAACCTAACCTGAACTCTCTGTTAAGCATTATTCTGAAAGATTTCCAGGATCTCAGGCATATTTTTTATTCCCAGCAAATGTAATGTGGTATGACCACAGACCCAATCCATTCAGCATAGCAATAAGGATCTTACCATCATTTCTATAGTGATCAGCCTGTGATTTAGTCAGTGAAACTGTGATGGATGGGGGAGGCCCAGAACTAAGGCCAGGCTTGTGTATAAGAAGGATCCTGGCAGACCAGCAGCTTGAGACAAAACGGCCATGGAGAACTGTGTCCAGTGACCAGAGGGGAGAGGGAGTCCTTCCAGTATGGGGGAAGGGGTTGGCCTACATGGAAGGCATATGTGTCTGATAAATCAGACTATTGCAGTTAAGCCAGGAAGAGTCAAAACATTAGTTTTGATATGGAGCAGGAAAACATGGGCAAAGCATGTTTCCTCCCCAAGGCGTATGATGCATGATAATGGTGCATTCTCAAGATCACAAAGTGGGAGGTGGCCCATCCTTATGCTGAGTATAGCAGTAAGTGTGGATCTGCTTCTTCACCCATCCAGCACTTCTAGCCAAGAGGAAAACAAATGATCAAGCCAACAAAGCACCCCTTTGCCAAGCCATTGTGCAATCTTCAGAACCCGTGGCAACAAGAATATCAAGCAAGGGAGGAAGCAAGCAAGCCATGGGTGCTAACCTCACCATGTCTTTTTGCTCCAGCCAGGCAGCCAGCAGCACCAAATAACTAGCTGAAAAGAGGAGACAGCCAAGAAGCAAGAACTTTCATCTGACCATTCTAACTCTGATTCTTCTGCTAAATGAATACCTTCTCTTCCCATCTCCTGTCAGACTGGCATCCACCATCTACCAGTAGGAATCTGACCTCACAAACATCTGCAATTCCAA